AGCTAATAAAAAGGATTATTGGTATTCTGAATAATCAACCTCTAAATTGTCACATTTTGAACATCAATTTTCCGATTGAATTCTCTAAATTATGAATGGGATTTGATAACAATTTTAATTTAGCTATAAATTATTTCTGTTTACCTAGTTAGCAACAGGCCGCTACGTTAGGCAATTTTTATTTATCTTTATTTATGACCTTACAAATTAATTACAACATTTTTAATGGATTCACATTTTTACCCATACAGGTGATGAGAAGCAATGATCACATGGGTATGTCCGGTCCTATGGTGATGCCTGGCAATCGTGGAGGTTCTGGTGGTGGTATGCATCGAGGCGCAAGCCGTGGAAGCAGTGGCATTCAAGGTATCTCTGTTGTTGGTGGTGGCCCACCGAATATGAGCGGTAACTATGTGGGTCTCCGCGGTGGTGGGATGTTGAGTGGAAGTAATTCTGGGCGTGGCCATTGCCTTGCGATCGGTCGACTTCGAGGTAGCAGTTCTGGCGCAGGCAGACAACGACCAGCACCCTACTAAACCTACTTTTCAGCTGAAGATCGGATATTTGACATCTTGCTCTGGGGGTATCTTTCCGCCTCGACCTGTATCTTTCCATCCTTTCTCTTATTAGTTAACTTGATGTTACAAGGTATCATTCTTTTCCTTATTCTCTTGTTAAGACGTGAGAACTTTCGAACTTATGCTTTGTTTTCTGTCGTGGGCTCCTGCTGTTTTGGTAAGCATTTGTATTACACTTCATACATATAATCGATAAAGCCCCTGATCGCTCGATAGTTTTACTCTGTACCTCAAATCTTTCCTATCGAGTCTATTCTCTACTACATGAATCTTTTGGGCATCGCTCACCAATTTCTAATTCCAAATGCATCTGACCGTTTACCTCGTAAGCTTTTTAAGATATAGCGACGTGGCTCATCATGAAGGTGAAGAGCTGTTGGTTATCTTCCTTTCTCGGCCTAGTTCAGCTCCTCGGTGTACAGTTTATGTCGAGGTATACGAGAGGCAATTTAATATTTTTTCTTCAATCGTTGTTGCTTGTTCTAAAAATAGTGATATAAGCATTTGCTTGTCTAACTACATTTCATACCCCTTGGTCTATTTGATCTATGAGGCACCACTTATATAATTTTCAATGAAATATAATCTGAACGTTTTCAGTGGCCTGTGCATGAAATATAAGCAATGTTTTATCTTATTTTGCAAGGTTTTGACTTAAATATCAAGCTTCTTATGAGATGGCAAGATTAACAGTGGAAAGGGTCCCTATTCTCTTAGCGTCGGATGCTCTTTAGAGTCAATTCTCTGCTATCTACTTGTTTCCTCCTTTTGCATTAACTGGTCTGGATTTAAGCCTGCGTAGGATAATGCTATTGCCATCGAATATCATTTTTCAGTAGTGTCGGTCCAATCAAGGATTGCTGAATGGCTTGGAATTCTTGTTGGCTCCCCTGAATTCCCTTGCTCTCCTCATTTTTACCTAGGTTGTTCACTGGATCTATTAATGGCAAAGCTCTGTTATATCATCTTTAGTGTAATTCTTTTGCCTTCGATGAGATATAACGCAGTGGTCTGTTCTTGTGCAAATTGTATTTGGTGTTTTTTTCTAAAATGCCATGGAATGTTTTGACACATTTGGTCAGTCCTTTTGCTATTTCTCTGTTGTGTTTAAGGCAAGGCACGTTTTAGGTGATTTAAGGTTTTTGATTTGTTTACATAGTCAAATTAATCTGGTTACGCTATTTTTAGTAGATTGGTTTCCATTTATTATGTCTTTAAATATCGGTTTTTGTGGAAAAGAGAATGTATCAAGGCACATAGAGATGGGT